TTTTATAGCACTGCTTTAAAATCACCGAGTCCTTCAACCCTTCATTGAAAATATGTGATGAAGAATGGGTCATTTGGTTTGAAGCATGGTTTTTACAGCACTTAGGTTCCAGATCTAAGCTCTATGTCTATTTACAAGAGCTACAAGTATAGGCACAAAGCATCTTTTAAAAAGGTCTGAATGGTCTGAATTGTATATATATATACATATATATATATATATACATATATACATATACATATATATATATATACACACACACACACACACACACACACAGTATGCATATATGATACCCTGTCGCCCCAACAAACTTCTTAACATTTCAGTCAAGGGGTGTACAAAGTTTTTTGTAGCACTGATGATAACATTTCATCTTCATCGCTGGACACAGTGATATCCAGGTTATTAAAGTGAAATGTATATACTTTACCTCCCTGCACTTTTATGTTCCTCGTCAGTCATTGTGCTGTGCAGGAACTCCTTCAGAGTACAAGTATTCTCCATCCATTCAATTACACCAATTCTGTAAAGGCAGCGACAGTGGTAAACTACAGTAACAGACAAAAATATTGGCACCCCTGCATTTCTGCCAGCTAACTCAACACTTCTCCCAGAAAATCGTTGCAATCATAAATTCTTTGGTGTTCTCATGTATTTCTTTAGTTTGCACTGGAACAAGACAAAAAGCAGAGAACAAAGCCAAATCTGATCCATTCCACACACAACTCCAAAAATGGAATGGACAGAATTACTGACACCTTTTCCTACATAGAATCAGAATCAGCTTTATTGGCCAGGTGTGACAGACACACGAGGAATTTGACTCAGGTACATTGGCTCTCAATGTGCAAAACAGTAAACCAGCATAAGGCTGTGTAATATAACAAAAAAGCAGTATTAACATCAACAAACAGTGCAAACAATGCAGAAAACGCAGTACAAACAGACAGTAAACAATGCAAACAACAAAGGAATGTTCACAGAAATGAGATAATTAGAAATAAAAACAGAGGATATACAGGTATTGCACTGAGGGTTATTGTCTAATCATACTGTTGTTGGTTAAGTGTTCTTCAGAGTGATGGCCTGGGGGAAGAAACTGTCCCTGTGCCTGGTTGTCTTAGTGCACAGTGACCTGTAACGCCGCCTAGAGGGGAGGAGTTCAAACAGATTGTATCCAGGGTGTGAGGGGTCTGCAGTGATCCTCTCTGCCCTCCATTTGATCTGTGCAGTGTACAGGTCCTCCATGGAGGGCAGGCTCACACCAATGACCTTTTCTGCAGTCCTCACTGTCCACTGAAGTCTGTACTTGTCCTGTGTGGTTGCTGAGCCAAACCAGACAGTGATGGAGGTGCAGAGAACAGACTCAATGATTCCTCTGTAGAACTGTATCAGCAGTGATACAATGCTGCCAAATACGGTAAGTGGGGGTAAGGTGGGAGGGCTCTTCCTGAAGGCCACTGTCATTGCCACTGTTTTGAGCGTGTTCAGCTCCAGGTTGTTCGGCTACACCACAGGACCAACTTCTCAACCTCCCGTCTGTACGCTGACTCGTCATCATCTCGGATGAGACCAATGACTGTTGTGTCATCTGTAAACTTTAGGAGCTTGACAGAGGGGTCCTTCGAGATGCAGTCATTGGTGTAGAGTGAAAACAGCAGAGGGGAGAGCACACATCCCTGGGGGGCACCTGTACTTATTGTCCGGGTGTTGGATGTGGTTTTCCCCAGCCTCACCTGCTGTTTCCTGTCTGTCAGAAAGCTAGTAATCCACTGACCGATGGGGACAGGCACAGTGAGCTGGCTCAGTTTGGAGTGGAGGATGTTCGGGATGACATGCAAATAAATCAGGAATGGACATGAAGAGCTGAACATTTTGATACCTGAATGGCTTTGCTAGCTGAAAGTATGCTGAACTTATTAAGATGTGCACTTTATAAGTCCAGCATACTTTCAAATATACAGGCCATTGAGGTATTTATCTGTTCCACTCTTCAAGGACATCCCTGCTTTTATTTGTCTTTTTATACAGTTTATACTTTTTAATTGATTCAGCTTTATTGTTTGCAGTACAAGTCAATGGGAGCTCAAAGTGCTGATTCAATGACAGTCTTGTGGTTCATAAAATGCAGTGCAATTGAGACATGCCCATACATAACTCCTCTCTCTCCCTCCCCCTCCCTCTCCCCCTCCACCTCTCGCTCTCTCCCTCTCTCTGTCCCCCTCCCCCTCTCTCACACACATGTTCACACCTACTTGTTTTACCTACTTTGTGGCATCCTATTGGACTATTTTCACATTTTAATCTTCTTCTTCTTTTGGCTGTTCCCGTTATGGGTCACCACAGCGAATCATCTGTTTCCACCTAACTCTATCCTCGCCATCCTCTACTCTCACCCCAATTAAGTTCATGTGCTAAAAGAGGACATGAAGGTATAAGGTTTAAAAAACCTTTGAATAGAAGAATGAATGTCCTTGAAGAGCTGAACATTTTGATACCTGAGACAGCTGAAAGTATGCTGAAGTAGAATTTTGCCATTCATTTGAATGAGGCAAAACTTTCAAAATAAAGCTAAATATTTCAAAGGTATAAGGTTTAGAAAAAATCCTTAAGACAAGCATAGATGTCCTTGAAGAGCTGAACATTTTGCTACCTGAAATAGCTAAAAGTATGCTGAAGTAGAATTTTTCCATTCATATAAATGGGGCCATATTTTCAAAATAAAGCTAAATATTTTAAAAGTATGAAGTTTATAAAACTTCTGAATAGAACCATGAATGTCCTTGAAAAGCTGAACATTTTGATAGCTGAAAGTATGCTGAAGTAAAATTTTCAAAATAAAGCTAAATATTTCAAAAGTATAAAGTTTAGAAAAATTCTTAATAGAAGCATGAATGTCCTTGAGGAGCTGAACATCTTGATAGCTGAAAATGTGCTGTGTAGAATTTCTGCATTCATTTGAATGGAGCAAAATTTTCAAAATAAAGCTAAATATTACAAAAGTATGAAGTTTAGAAAAATCCTGAACAGAAGCATGAATGCCCTTGAAGAGGTGAACATTTTGCTACCTGAGACAGCTAAAAGTATGCTGAAGTAGAATTTTGCCATTCTTTTGAATGGGGCAAAACTTCAAAATAAAACTAAATATTTCAAAGGTAAAAGGTTTAGAAAAAAATCCTTAAGACAAGCATAGATGTCCTTTGTTAGGTATTTTTAGTCAGACATTGGTTAGGTACTTTATGTATTAGAAATGTTCAGTGGCGTTAGGATGTCTAGGTAGGCTGTCAAATGCTTAGTCATGCTCATGAGTTTTTACAGGGTGCATATGGTCAAGGATAACTAGATAGAAAGTTTGACTGTTAGAAGACAGGCTGATTATTATTATTATTATTATTATTATGTGTATAACTGTAATCGTAATCATAATATTTTCTTATGTTTAATGTCATGACATGTCACTAGATGTCATGTCAGAATGTTTTTAGATACACACCACTTAATCAACAGACACACACACACATTGATTTTCTTCATGTTTTGACTACTGCTATGGTCAGCTGCAAAGCTGGCACCAGGGACACGTCACGGTTGACGTTCCTGTGTAGAATGGGGCTAGCCCAACTGAAGAGATAAATGTATAGGCCTGGTTTGGTTCAGGGTCTTTCATCCTTCAGCTGCTTGCATGCATGCATGTTGGGGGGTGCAAGATACCTGAGCGTGTAATGTTAATTTTTACCTGTGTTCATTGAATAAATCAGCACTGTATTGAAGCTACTTGGACTGCCTCGTCTCTCAGAGTTAGCATGGTACAAGAACCGGAAGACTTCACCTTGAAGAGCTGAACATTTTGCTACCAGAAATAGCTAAAAGTATGCTGAAATAGAATTTTCCCATTGATTTGAATGGGGCCATATTTTCAAAATAAAGCTAAATATTATAAAAATATGAAGTTTAAAAAAATGTCTGAATAGAAGCATGAATGTCCTTGGAAAAACAGAACATTTTGCTAGCTGAAAGTATGCTAAAGTAGAATTTTCCTATTCATTTGAATGGGACAAGATTTTCAAAATAAAGCTAAATATTTCAAAAGTATAAAGTTTAGAAGAATTCTTAATAGAAGCATGAATGTCCTTGAGGAGCTTAACATTTTAATACCTGAAAATATGCTGTGTAGAATTTCCACATTCATTTGAATTGGGCAAAAGTTAAAAAACTAAATATTACAAAAGTATGAAGTTTAGAAAGATTGTGAAGAGAAGCATGAATATCCTTGAAGAGCTGAACATTTTGATACCTGAAATAGCTCAATGTATGTAGAACTAAAATTTTCCCATTCATTTGAATGGGGCAAGATTTTCAAAATAAAGCTAAATATTTCAAAAGTATGAAGTTTACAAAAACTCTGAACAGAAGCATGAATGTCCTTGAAGAGCTGAACATTTTGATAGCTGAAATTATGCTGAAGTTGAATTTTCCCATTCATTTGAATGGGGCAAGATTTTCAAAATAAAGCTAAATATTTTAAAAGTATGAAGTTTAGAAAATGTTCGAAGAAAAGCATTAATGTTCTTGAAGAGTTGAACATTCTGATAGCTGAAAAAGCTAAAAGTATGCTGAAGTTGAATTTTCCCATTCATTTGAATGGGGCAAGATTGTCAAAATAAAGCTAAATATTTCAAAAGTATGAAGTTTAGAAAACCTCTTAATAGAAGCATGAATATCCTTGAAGAGCTGTACATTTTGAAAGCTGAAATTATGCTGAAATAAATTTTCCCATTCATTTGAATGGGGCAAGATTTTCAAAATAAAGCTAAATATTTCACGAGTAGGAAGTTTAGAAAACTTCTGAATTGAAGCATGAATGTCCTTGAAGAGCTGAACATTTTGATTGCTGAAATTATGCTGAAGAAGAATTTTACCATTCATTTGAATGGGGCAAGATTTTCAAAATAAAGCTAAATATTTCACGAGTAGGAAGTTTAGAAAACTTCTGAATTGAAGCATGAATGTCCTTGAAGAGCTGAACATTTTGATTGCTGAAATTATGCTGAAGAAGAATTTTACCATTCATTTGAATGGGGCAAGATTTTCAAAATAAAGCTAAATATTTCA